AAAATAATAATAATAGCAATTAACCTTTTTGAAAATATTTCTGTAAAAAATCAAACTCTTTTCATAGTAAATACAATTCCCGGTCAAATATAATTTCGACCTTCATTAAATCAATAAAAATCTATACATAAATGTATGCAGTTTATGAATAAATGTATGATATATCGCGCTTTATATTTATTAAAAACATCATTAAATCTCTCTTAGTATAACTTCATTCATATGATTGCAGCAGGGCTTTATTTGTTCCACACATATTTGTGTAGGCATGTATTTTCATAATATAACTAATAATCAACGTCAATTAACTATTTAAGTATTAACTAAGATTATGCATTTGTAGGTATGTGTGTAACGGCAAATTTTACAACTATTTACACTTTATTTTAAATTGTCAGAAAAATTTCAAACACATATTTTTTATTAGTACTTTAAACTTAGTGTATATCGCAAGTCAATAATACTTACAAATTTACATAATGAGCACAGCTGCATTCACCATTAATTTTGATTAAAAACGAAAAACTGACCAATTCGCCTCATTGACGCCATGCTCTATTGTCTACTACAACTCAGCGCTTAACATTTCGCCAAGCAACCACCAGCCTCAGAAGGTCGGATGGTTTCGTATGAAAAATACATCATATTCCTTTTCGATCCACTTAATCAACTTGTCGACATTTTTAATCACTGCACACTTATCCACTAACGGTTCGAATACTGCATACAATTCATATGCTGCTGTAACCCAGGCCAAGACCACTTCATGTTTGCGCACCTCGTAAATTAGTTTAAGCGGTCGCGAGCTGTTGTGTATGCGATGCAGTAAATCACAATATATGCCTTCTAAACGTTCAAATTCGTTCAGTGTAGTATATGGTGGTACAAGTTCGGAGCAGAGCAGTTGCGCTGCCGTTTTAGGTTTATAGAGAAAATGTCGCAGTTCAGGTATGCCAATAATGTTTAAATTTAAACCGCCATTAGTAGGTTTCTCAATTTCTTTACTAATCGCGTCCAGAGACTTTGTCGAACGTAATTTATCCGTTATGCGTCGCTTGGCATCGGAGAGCGTAAAGAATACATTGGGATCGACTGAAAGCAACAAAAGGCACGCCTGGCAATCGTCGGTTAGATAGGAAACATGTGCATATAAATAACCGTTCATATCGAATTTCGGCAGACAAATAGGTGTCCAATTTTCTGACGTTTTGAAGGATTCGGAGCACTCGATAAGATTGAAGATTAGCCTGTGCATAGAAAACAAATAAAGATTAGTAAATATGGAAATCTACACGTATATTTCTTACCTCAAATCGGCAGGATGGATGGAATATTTTTTCATACGCACAAGTGATATTAGTTTATTATTAGCTATGAGCACGGCAAATACCAAGTCCTTGATTTTTGAGCAATTGCTTTGTATACCGCTAACGATGCTTGAACGTACCGTCGTGGGAAGAGGTAGTACACGAATGGAGTTTGTTAAAAAGGTGAAGACATTGTTGGTCACTACCAAAAAACAAATATACAAAAAATGTAAAAAAAAAATTTTTTTTAATAAAACTAACCTCGTTTATTACTGCTGTCATTTGAGAGCAAATGGTAGATTAATCTTTCGCTACCCGCTAGTGAACGCCGCAGATCAAAATTTTTACGTTTTTCAAATATGCGTGTGACATGCTTGTTCGTTAATGTTGACAATATTTGATTGTATACATCGCTAAAATTTTAAAATGTTAATTTTTCAATGCCTTATGCAGATCAACTGGTATAACTTACCCCAGCTGCAGTTGCAACTGTGGCACACTCATGTTTGAACGTGACGCCGCAACGAGTATTAGCGTATTACGCACTAAAAATACAAATTTAATGCCACGCGCGTGTATAGACGTTATAGCATCTTGTCCATGTTGTACAAAGCTAACCAGCGCTTGTATAACGCCGAATAAAGTCGCTAGTTTGTCTTCATTCCCGTGCAAGGAATATATGGGCTTACCAGCTTCGCTCAATATAAATATATGCTTTTTTTGTTCACGCCACACATTGTCATGCATATAGTCAAATTGGTTTTCATCACCATCATCGACACTTACAGCCCCTAATGAGTTCACGATTTCACCAGATATTGTGCTGGTGCTATTGCTAATGGGTAGCGATTCTGCCGATATCGACTTATGTACATTGTCAATTGTACCAGAGTTTTTGTTGATGCTTTCATTTACACCATTAATTGTGTCTTGTCCTGGTGTTAAACCTTCACGTATTTCACTAATAATACTATGTCCAATCTCGTTGTGTTCGCGTTCTGTATCTTGGAAATATTCGTTGTCTTCTAAATGGGGTTCACATTCAGCGTCCGAGTATTCAGAATTCGATTGCATCGACGCTGAATCCGAGTAATTTGTGGGCGGTTCTATGTCCATGTTTTATTTCTTTAAAACCTTATGTGCGCCATCAATTGTTCTGCAAATAATAAAGCGTTATTTCAAAGATTTCCAACATATTTTTCTTTACCCTTACATAATAATATGTCCAAAATAATATTCATAAATTGATTTTTAATAAATTGATGACTTTGTTTTGCTGCATAATTGTAAAACCAAATGGTTTAACTTATATTTCTTCTTCGGCAAGCGATCGGTCACAATGGTTGAACATATGTTTTTTAAATTATTTATTTGGTAAAATAAAATTCATATACAATTTCTTTTAAGTATGCTACGGCAAAGTTTATAGTGCTAATTGCTAGTAGCTATTGTCAAAATAGTTTATGCATAAAAAATATTTACAAAAAATTTATAAATTTAACTTTTCTACTGGCATCTCAAACAGCTGATCATCAGCAGTACGGCGTGATTATTGCTTAATTGGGTTAAAATTCATAAGGTTCCAAGATGTTACAAAACTCTTTAAAATCAGGTAATATTTATAAAAATATATTTGAAATCGATTTATAAACCAATCAATCTTTCAGGTACACGTATATTTACTTATCGAAATGTTTGCGCCATTCCCAAACGACTACAACAAACCGCTACAAATACTCCCGCAACAGATCCTGAAAATATTGCTGTAATAGAGGAACGAATATTGAAGCATCCCGACTATTTTCAAGTGTATAATCTTTTCACTGTCCGCGATCTCTTCAATGCTAGAGTTCATTATGGCCACAAGGAGGGGTCATTAGATGATCGTATGCGCCCCTACATATATGGCAGTCGTCTCGGTCACCTTATATTCGATTTAGATATAACTGCTGCACATCTGCGTGATGCTTTAAACATAGCTGCACATATTGCTTTTCGTGATGGTATTATACTATTCTTTAATCGGAATGCTCTCAACGCTCATCTGGTGGAGAAGAAAGCTATAGAGGCCGGTGAATTCTCACATACACGCTTTTGGCGTGGAGGTATTTTTACTAATGCTAATGTACAATTCGGTGCTGTAACGCGTTTGCCTGATTTGTGCATTTTTTTGAATACACAAAACAATATATTGACACAGCATGTGGCTGTGCGAGATTCCGCGAAAATGGCCATACCCACTATTGGTATTGTGGACAGTAATTGCAATCCCAATCTGATTACTTATCCAGTGCCAGGTAACGATGATTCGCCAGCAGCAATAGAATTATATTGCAACCTATTCAAAGCTGCAATATTACGAGGCAAGGAAAAACGGAAAGAACTTCTTGGAGAAACTGAAGACACCAATAGTTCAAAATCATAAAAAAGGCAGCATCCAAAAACGTAATGGTCTAGATTAAATATTGTTTTTACACAAGAGTGTCTGTTATGAAAATAAATAAACAAATTAACATTTGTGTCCAAAGAAAACATTAAACCATGTGCTAATTCCCAATTTACTATTAACTCTAATAACAAATTGTAATACCAATATTTGCTATTTTTCAATTTATGATTATATTTATAATACAATTTAAGGTCTGGGAAGTGTTACAATACCTCCCGGTAGCAACACACCGCCAGGTTGAAAACTATCCGACAAAGTTTGACGTGATGAGAGAACGGGATCGTGCGTGTTACGAATATTTTGATTCGAAGAATTGTTTGAATGCCAATTTACAGGTAGATTGAAAACATTTTCCACTGAGCCATTATTTGTGTCTGACTTTTTTACTTCTCGCTCTATCCGAGCTGAGCGTTCCACCATACGAGCATTCAACATCTCCTTATGTGCGTTTACAGCCTCCACTGCACGTTCTAAACGAATCCGATCCTTTTCGTCCAATTCTTCGAATGTCTTTTTACCCAGGCGTTGTACTACTCTTTTAGCATTTTTAAACTCGCGATTCTTAAATGGTTTCATAGCTTGGCGGTATTCTCGCCACAAACGCGTCTTTTGCTCGCGTTCCTCCGGTGTATTAGCAATCATTGCTGGTGGAGCTTGAGGCTTCACTATCCATGTGGATTTAAACTTTTCATACTTATTACTAGAATTATGTGGCTTTTGAATATATATTTGCGGTCGGATTGGTTGTCTTTTATTATCTTGTCCCACATTTGAAAAGTTTTCGTCTTCCAACTTTGTATTTTTTATCACTGGTTGCTCATTTTGGATTGATTTGGTTGATGCCGGTTTAATGTTTGTTTTTACAGCAGAGTCGCCATATTTTGGTTTTGTTCGAGAAGAAAAATTATTTTGTGTAAAGAACCTGTTGTTAGCTTTTCCCGATTGTTTGTTATAGTCATTGTATTGGTTTAAGCGGGGCATATGTGGCATTGGAGGAAACAAAGGTTGCATTATAGGTCCAGATGACCAGTGAACATCTTGATTAAGAAACTCGTCAAAAGACAATGGTGGCACCAATGGTGGTATTATTGGATCTTGATTAAAATTGCGTGCATGGTTGTTTTCAAACTGGTTTCTTTGTGGTGTTATTGCGTTAAAATTGGGCAAATTATAATTTTGCGATCTAGAAAAAATTCTTTCCTGATTCTGGTGGTTTTGTATATGGCTTTCTGAAGTCCAGTTTTTATTGCGTGGATTTTGTCGCTGCTGAACGGCAAATTTTCTATCTTTTGCAGATCTTGATGATTTGTTGTTTTTACTTTCCTCCTCTGCTTCTTTTAATTGCTTCCAATCACTAAAAGACATGCCCAGCTTAATTGGTGGTAACACAGCTTTCCTAAATTCTGGTTTATCTTCTAACGAAGCATTTTCACATTGCTGCCTCAAATTTTCGTCATCTTTTTCAGTAACACTTGAAGCCATCGTGGATATTTATTGAATACTTTTCCAGATAACTGTTTTGTTTGCAATATGTATTGTTAATTTATATCCACTTTATTATACTATAGAAAGTGAAAAATGTCAGAAAAGAATTCTATTCACGATAATGATAACAGTAAGTTCACAATTCCCAATAGCAATCCAACTTCTATCCTATTCGGCTCCCACCATTAGTTATGTTCCACAAAAACGGCAGCACCTTAACTTTACATCATTTGCTTTGATTGGATGTTTCATCCACTACGACGAACAGTAAAAAGTTTTTCTCTTGTGTGAATTTGCAGAATTTCTGGTAAGTCT